TAGGTATATGTTTTACGTCTTTCATGATATTAAATAATTAAAGCTTTCACGTTTCAGTCCTTATTATTATTTGCAAGGAAAAAGTGCAACAATTAGTTTTATTACTATTGCTACTATGTCATTAACTTACAAAAACTCAAATTATCGAGCTCAAATCATCGCGTGCTTAGAAAATCTTTGTTTACTCACAATTATGAAAATTGCAAAAACCTGGCTTGATATTCAGAATAGATGTAATGCTACGGTAAATGTACGGTATTAAACTTACACAGAAAAATACTATTACAAATGAAGATTGTTTGTTTAATTTTATAGTCGGACTTTCTTACAAGCATGCGTCGCGCATGCTTGTAAGAATTTTTTATTGTTTTTTTTTTTTTTGGAAAAATTAAAAGTTCAAACGTCATCGAGCAAATCTAAATGGCACAAAATTAGCGTATTTCCTCTGAAGCTTTAAAAAACGTCCAGAGGAAAGACTAACCAGAACGAGAGGCAGCACTAGTGGGAGGTACACATGTTTTGATTTCCCTATTGACAGTAACGTTAAACACATGTCTTATCATTTAAATAAATTAGTTAATAAAGTGAATAAAAAGTATTAAAAATAAATTGTCATGCTTACCAAATACTGTGCGTTCGCAAATTGTACTTCTGACAGTCGATACAAGCAAGATGCTTTTTTTGCTATTACCAATTTGTGCTATTTATAAAACCTCAAGTTGACACGAAAAAGTATTTCAAATGGGTTTATTTATCGCGAAGAACCGATTTATCGATTGATTATTAAATAGTAAAATATCTTGAAATACTGTCTGGATTATTGTGAAACTTTTTGCCCTTGTTCTACTCTTTTAATTTGGATGTACAAGTCAGAGTATCATAACCGTATCGTGCGGTATAACCTTCAAGTTTATGTTATTATCGGCAATTAACGCAGCTCGGAGGCAGCGCGGGTGCAGTCGGTAGGCACCTAGGCCTGACGTAGCAATTTCTGGCCGAGTGGCCGTACAGTTGGCATCGGTGGCACTGGCCAACAATGCCCCTATTTCGAGGGTCTTCAATTGCAATTCCAGTTACGTTGCAGATGCCCCGGATGTTGAATATCTCCTTGCCTTCCGAAGACAGGTCCAGAATGACAAGGCACAGATCTAGGAATCGGTTTTGTCGGTCTGGTAGTGCTTTCTGTGCACTTCTCGGACCGGGAGATTTTGGGCCTTGAGGTTATCTAAAATGGTTACGGTCTCGAGTTCCTTGAGAAGTCCTCGAACGACCACACGAAGGTTACGCTCCTCTGGTAAGGCGTAAGTGTGGAAACTAATTTCCTAAGCGCACAGGTGACTAGTCACGCCGCGAAATCCCTCGGTCGACTTAACGAACATTCTGATGGCCTGACTGGCATTTTGCACCTTTGGGCAGTATATCTTATTAGAGTTCAACCCATTGGACAGATTGTTCAATTTGGTTTTGTCTTGTATAACTATCGGTGGCGCGGCTTTTCCTACGTTTAATAGAACCCTTTCGCTACGGGTTTGAACACGGGCTTAGGGGGGTTGATCGTGCGCCGCGGGGGCTGGCTTTTTAGCCGGAGTGGCAGTGCAGGTCGGGGGAGCCCAGTTAGTCTCGGCTACCTTTTTTGGTGCGGCACCCTTGCGCTTTTTGCACTGGACGAGGGTGAAGCCTTCGTCTTCGGGCTTGATCGGGGCACGCGTCTCAATCTTCATGTCGTAGCCTGAATCTGCATCCGAGAAGGCCGGAGAGGGGCCGCGGGTTGACACCGCGGAGTGCGCGAGGGACGCAGGGTCTTTCACCGACGCAAAAGAAACCGGATACCGTGATACCTGAGCGGAGTGAGGGGAGGGGGTTTTCCTCATGAAATTCCGGGTTGTCTTTGCGCTGTATTAAAAACACAGACTAAATGTCAGGGAAGACGTAAAAAGTTGGTGAGTTCATCATATTAAAAACCTCATCTTGTCCTATGCTAACACAAGTTAACACAGATGTATACCAAGCTGTGTTTGCCTAAAATAAACGCCTATACACCTAGCGCGTTCGTTCGCTACAGTGTGTAGGTATCTAGCTGTTTGCTAATGCAACAAGCAATACAAAAATTAAAATAAATAGCCGTTCACTTTACTTCAAGAGCACCAAACTTACTGGGCTCTATGTAAAATGAACGCATGAGTTTAGACAATGGAGTAACGAGAGTGAACTCTGACTCGTCCGTAGTCTACAGAGCCCAAGCGCACTATCACGACCAGATGGGGACTTCCATTGGCAGATAGCAGCTGTTGTTATAAGGAGTAACTTAAGCTACATTTATTTAAAAAAAATTAAAACCCATGAAATTCAATCTTAATAAATTCCATGCGGATGAAGTTGTGGGGAACAGCTATACAAATAAATAAAATTGAAGTGTTTTTTTAAATATCAAAATAACAGTATATTACTAAATAAGTATGAAAGTGTATACGGTACCTACTTATACCTATAAAAAATTATTAAATATTTTGCGTTTCTGTCTGTTCCGGGTGATGATATAAAAAGTAACTAAGGTACTTTCATTTTAAAAAATAATTAGGTTTCCGCGCAAAAAACTTAAAACCCTAAATTACACGCAGGAAAAGTCGCGGGGAACAGCAAGTGTACAATAAACTTATCACAGCCACACTACCGACCGCAACATACAACTGAAAACCACATATTTTACCCTTATTTTAGGAATTAAATAAATTTTAAAATCGTGATTTATAACAAAATTAAGCTGTGTTAATGAAGCTAAACACAGTATTTAAGCAAATACCCAATGAGTCGATATATGCAGTTTTGAAAGTAAAATTCACATTCACGGTGGCTCGGTCTTAATTGCATGTAGTTAAATAATCCCTTGAGATTAATAGAAGTGAGTTACTTCAAATGTATTCATATGTCATTAATTATTTATTTGCACACACAGAAATAGTAATTACGATTTCTGTGCTTACACATATTAATATATACATATATTATATTACATTAATTAATATACAAAATGTATCTAAATAAGAATTTATCTAAAGAAGACCAAGGTAATAAAAGCATACTTAAAACATTTCACAAATATAGTGATCAATACTGCCTCATGATATTTGGAAGAGAAGAGTTAAGGGTGTACATTTATATACATACAAATAAATCCTCTGTATAAAGTTTTTGATAAAGGAGTATACTGAACAAACGCGTTGACCGATGTATATTGAATGAACTTTTACAAAAAAGGACTAATATTTCGTTTACATATACAAAAAGTGTCATTCGACTCGTCGATATTGAAATTTATTACGGTACAAAATGACTTAAGTTATCACATACCTTATGTAACATCTACATACCTACCTATCGAACGTCCACTGCCAAACGTAGGCGTCTTCAATAGATTGCCTCATTTGGATGATATTTGGCATAGTTGCCACGCTTGGCAAGCGACTTGGCCACCACAGATTTTTATTTTTGGTTGTTATTCGGAAGACGCTGCTGCCCATTTCTTCGTTTGCTTCCATCTATTGGCTCTTGTGACACCCACGGGACGACATGGGTTAGTGGATATTCTTACACGACCACTACACGGTCAACATAGATATATAGTACATACTCGTAGCCACAATGCTTAAACATAATGTCTTTTGCGTTTATACCATTAACCCGATCGTTAGCTTTTTTGCACCGCGGAAATCAAACAATTTGAAGAACTTTAATTCACTTATTAGATCTTTATTTATAGAAAAATAAATATTTTCACAGAAGAAAATAATTTGTTAATACGACGTTAATGGTGGCAGTACGACGTAATTAGCAAAATATAATATATATACTACGCTTTTGGTAAACAATTGTTGAAAGCACGTTTATTTTGACATCCACAAAAATTTCATTATTATTTCAATATTTCATCATGATCCATTTAATGCATAAAAATAATTTTCTTTTTTAATTTGCTGTGTAGTCCAATGTTTACTTCATAGCTCTTAACAACACTTTTTTAGCTTGAAATCTTTTTTTAATTATTCATGTTCCAAGGCGAAAGGCTTTCGACTGAGAACTTTTTATGAGTAAAATAAAAATGCCGAGAATTACTTAAATGAAAATTTTAGTTGCCACAGTAATTAATTTAGATTAAAATTAGTATTTACCCTCTCGGAAATGACATGAGACTTTTGCCCAGCAGTGGGATATATACAGGCTGTAACTTTAAAAACTATGAATATAAATTCTATTCCATCATTCTTTTAAAAGAATAAACCCAAGGAGAGAGATTCAGATGCTATCAAGTACTTATTATATCAAACCTTATTTTTCTCCAAATACTTATATAATAAAAGACCGTTAACGTTAGCCTATCAGAACCCCACATCTGAACATAGGTCTACCGCATAGATTGTCTTATAGGTATTTGCAATATTTGCCCCAATTGCCAGGCGAGTTCGCAAGCGCAGTTTTTATTTTGTTTCTTTAGTTTCATTACAAAAAAGAGAAAATCCGACTTCAACCGCGAAAAAAATTTGTGGCGTTTATGGGCTCATGGCAGGGTCAGTAACAGTAGCACAAAGTTGGTTTAACTTAAATTAGAAATCCCTAAACAAAAAGAGCTGATGATCTTCAAACGGCAGAACAGATTTTCTTGAAACACAGCTATGAACACTCTCCATTAAGACTCCTTTCAATCGAAGAAAAACTCAATCAAACTCGGTTAATCCGTTCATGAGCTATGATACCACAGACAGATACACACATACACACTACAAACTTATATCACCCCTATTTTTAATTGTCGGGGGTTAAAATCATTGTTAAACAAGCGGCCACAGTAACTACCAGTAACAGCGTTCCAAATTAATTTATAACTTTATGTTAAACTCTTTAAAATCCCATAAAATCCAATCACTGTAATACTATAGCAAATGCCAATAAATGGTTCTAGATTACCGGATTATTGTAAACATAACTTAAGCATATTAATAACTTACTGTTTTCTTTACGCTTTATATCAGTACACATCTTGCACTCCGTAGAACACATAACCATACTGTATAAAAGTTTTTTGGTTGCAAACTATATTTACTGTCTTAATTTTGATTACGACAGCATTCCCTATATTTATTAATTCTATATTCGACACGTATGTTTTTTTAATGTATGTTCACCGCTTTCTTGGAAACGAGTGTACCAGTTTTAATATGTTTTCTTCTATACTTTAGAGTATACTTTAGAGGTGGTCCCATATAACTTTTAGGTAAAAATTTCACCCCTGAAGTTGGAAAAATAGGGGATGAAATTTGTAATGTAAATATTTAGACAATATTGTAGTTGTTACCTTTAACTTGTGATATTTTGTACGTGGTAGAGCCATACTACAGTTATATTAGTGGTATAGTTGTAGCACGAATGGCTCGGCTCGACCGGGGAAGGACCACGCTCTCACAGAATACCAGCGTAAAATAGTAGCTTAATGCTGCTTAGTTTCGTATAGTGGGTATGGAGAACCGGAGATACTTTTTACTGGAAACGAGTCATTTCATCTTAGTCCTCACGGGTGACAACGCTTCTGCATTTTGATTTGTAATCGAGGATAAGATGTAGACGTCTATGGGCCACAGCAACCACTTAATTTCAGGTGGACTGTGTGCTCGTTAGTCACCTGATCCTATTAAAAAATATTCCTTAGTCCACTCAAAAAGGTAACATTAAACTATACATTAAACTATTGAAAAAATAAAACTGACTTCAAAAAAAGAAAGAATAAAAAATACATAACACCTCTTAAGTCGGAGTTTTAATTTTTTGTTACATCATTTCAAAAACCCCGACTTTAGAAGCTATTAATATGTAGAAATTATGAATTCCTACAATGTCAAAAAAAGATTAGTATACCGTTAACGTAAATTATGTATAGGACTAATATTTTATATATAACATAAGCTCATAAATCCATTAAATACGACGTGCACACGATTACATTATTGGATTTACCACAAAAAAAGATTATCACCTTATCTGAAAAGACAGTAACGCACCACCACCATAATCAATGTGCTACAGATGTTTACTTTCTCTTCTACATATAAATATGGGCATATTTTAGAATCTCGCCGTTCGATTCGACGTTGGCAGTAAATGCATTATCTATGTAAATTGAAATAAAATTCTGTTTAGCTCTTGGCTTCTGTTTAGCTCAGTGTGTCATTTGCAAGTTATTGAGACATGAATCACCATTTATAAAATGTTTGTCTGTCCGTCTGTCTGTTTATCTGAATTAATCTGTGGAATGACCAAATCGATTGCAATGAAACTTCATGACACAGATACAGAGCAATGCCAGGAGTTATTTAGGCTATTTGTTTTTTTTAATAAAGAGGATACTTTTGTAAATACGAAAAAGTGATAAAATAAGTGATATTTGATAATTATCAATAAATCCCACCCAGACAAGGCCGGGGCGCTAGTAAATAATAAAGTATTTCATTTCATGAATATATGTCAGCGCTAAAATTTAAAATTTTTATCCCTTACGGAGAAAAGTGACATTATGCAAATTTCATTATATACTTCACAAAGGAATAGAAAGGACCAAATTTTAGACGCAGTACGTATTCGAAATTGGTTTTGCAACTAAGAGCACTACTCTTCAGTGCAGTTTGTACATTTCTGAATAATTCATGCACAAATGTACAAGGCCTTCATAGCACTTTTCGCTGCGTATTCGGTTAATTTAGAAACTAATGCTAAATTAGACAATGCTAATTTTTAAAATTGTTAAAAATTAAAAAAAAAATATTTTAAATCTAAGCAAAATCTTAAAAGGATTTATAGAGACTCTTGTCATAAAATAAGCGCAAAGTTATCGATATATAAATTCTTGAAATAATATAAAAGTAACGACTTTTAGACCAAAAAGATAACCCTAAAGAAAAGAAAAAAATAAGAATCAGTTCAAAACCAAACCACACAAAAGACAGGAACTTTACAGTGAGTTCGTAAGAAGATACTTTATATTCTAGATTAGTGCTGGGTCTCCACACAGAATACGTGCTCGATGAGCATGTTTCTTCGAGCATGCTTGACTTTGCTTGTCTTGTCTACACGATTAAGTTCAGTTGCATAACGAATTATTGAGTTAGTGGATGACTTATAGTTGTACAAATGTTGCTGTGTAGCATGTTGTGAAATTCAAATAAAAACAAAACCTCAACGAAATCAAAGGCACTGGGTGACGCCACTCTTCTCAAAATAGAACTCCAATTCAGTTGGGATAGGTACAGAATTCTTACCTATTTCTGCTGTCAAATAGCAGTGCTTGCACTGTTGCTGTTACTAGGTTCTGGACTGAAGCGTATAGAGAGTCTTATTACTGACTGTGAGGCATTCCATCTTTTCCTGGCAAAATTTGTACACGGGCTACAGTAGCCACTTACGAGTACCATCAGGTGAACTGTTTGTAAGTCTTGAGTTTTATAAAACGAAACGCGTTACACTCAAGACTTTCACGACTATCGTTACCGTTACAGCATATTAAAGGCTGAACTTATGCCTCTCGGATCGTTCTGTGCCCATAGATTGTCCAATGGAGGTATAACTGCCAGAGTTGCCACTCTTGGCAAGCGGGTTGGTAACTCCAGTTTTTTTTAAATGTTTATTCGTTATTAGGTAAAACCAAGTACATTACTGACCAAATCTCTAATTTTAAACAAAATAATCAAACTAAAAATTATTCTCAAAAAGACGCTGCTCTCATCTCCTGATTTGTTTCCCTCAGTCGCCTCTTTTTTTCTCTTAGAAATTGAAAACTATTTCTCACAAAATTTTGGATATCGAAAATATTTTAGATATAAGCTTATTTTGGACAGAAGAAGCACGAGAGTAGAATAAATGGCAGTAGAAATGAGGTCGCTAAGAAGTATGTTAGGGCTGAATCTGAGTGACAGGGTGGGAAACTATAAAGTGTGGTTGCAAGATGATGCTGTGACCAGGATTAAGAAAGGAATGCTTCAGTGGCTTGGTCACTGTGAATGAGAAAAAGTGACAAAGCAAATGTATGTTGCAGGAGTGAATAAAAGAGACGGAAAGTGACGTGCTAGGTGAAAGCTTATCGACCAAATTGGGGATACATTGAAAATGGGTCACATTAAGAGTACCCTTAACCGACGAGCATGTATGCGTACGTACATGGATGTAGAGGAGGCGAGAGAGCTATGTCAGGATCGTGCTAAATGGAAGTCTGTAGTCTCTGCCTACCCCTCTGGGTGACATGCGTGAGTGTTTATGTTTATGTTATATTTAAGTTTATACTACCAACATGTGCTCTAGTAAGTTGTATTCAATACACCGGGATCTAATACGAGCTTTTTTCTATAATATGAAATTAATGTGCTCGATGGCTCAATATTTTGATACAATTTGGTTGTCTCGAACATCGAGCAAAAAATTTGTCAATTTGAATATTATATGATTTGGATTTGCTCGAAGATGTTTGCACTTTTAAACTTTAACCAGAAAACGATAAAACGTCGCGCATGCTTGTAAGTGGAGACCCACTATACATATAATATTACACAAATAATTTTCATTTGTAATAGTATATTTCCGCGTAAGTTTAATACTCTCGCATTAAATCCATTCGGAATATCAAACTAGGCTATGCTATTTTCATAATTGTAAGTAAACAAGGATTTTTTAAGCACGCGATGATTTGAGCTCGATATTTTAAGCTTTTGTAAGTTAATGACATAATAACTACCCTAATAAAATCAAGTTTTGCACTTTTGCCTCTATAGAATGTAAGTAATTTATGATCGCAGATAATAATAGGGAATGAAATATGAAAACTTTAATTATCTAATATCACGAAACATGTAAATTCCATACCTATTCACTCTTTTATATTGTATGTAGATACTGATACATAATATACTCAGTGTATTCTTAAAACGAATGAGTGCGAAGAAAGTATTAGCATAGAATAAATAATAGCGGTATTACTTACATATGAGGAGGTAACAATCAAAACGTGATTTGTCACAAAAAAAAAAGAAAAAAAGTTGATAATACCATTTTTCTCTACTCTATGGGCTCCATATTTTTTAAAAGAACAGTTTGCATCAAAACATGTTTTCTCTAAATATTTTTAATGAGTAAAATAGGCAGTAAAAACAAAACGTGTTCTGTCCTTCAGCAGGCTAACATCATAAAATGTGTTGTCCGAACAACCAATCACAAATAAGTGGACGCCATTTTGACATTTGACTTAACACAATTTGAATGAAAATTAATGAACCACTTGTTGTCATTCATTACCTATGTGAGGTTATTTTACTGTGTCGTATGTTTCGATTTTTGAATAAAATAAAATAATATTGTGACGCTAATTTTTAATGCAATATAAAATGGACGACATCGTAGACGAAACGGATACTATAGAAGTACAAGCGGGGAATAGTGATAGCCGTAAAAGACGTATCACTGGTGGAAAAAGAATTGCTGCCATAAAGATGAAGTATTCAAAACTTTATAATTCTAATGTTATTCACCCTTGTGCACACGACACGAAAATCTTTCGTTGCTCAAAAGTTACACCAAAGCACGTTATGCATATGCGAACAAAGTTGTGTTCGGTTCCGGAAAAACTTGCTCAAGACGGGATCACTTCACCTTTAATTCAGACTCACCAAGTGAAGCGAAGGAGACCTAGAGTAAAACCTAACAAGAAGGTTGTGTCAGAACATCTATTCAATGTGAAATACTTCTTAACAGTTGATTCTCAGAGGGTTCCAGTTTGCAAGAAGTTTTTTCTTGAAGTAACTAAGATGGGGCGTACTAGGCTTCAAAACATAGCAAAAAAGCAGTTTCAGGGTGAAAGAATTAAAGAAAATAGAGGAGGTGACCGAAAAAGTCATTTAAGCCGGGAGAAGAAAGACAATGTAAGAAAATTCATTGGAAAACTTCGAGGAAGTGAAAGTCATTATGGAAGAAATAAGTCTAAACGAATCTATTTGATGGCAGGCTTGAGTATTAAAAAATTACATAAAATATACAATGCGAATACCACTGATGAACTGAAAGTGAAACTTTCAATGTTTAGACGAATCTTTGTTAGTGAATTTAATATTGGTTTTAAATCACCAGCTACCGATGTGTGCAGTTATTGCACAATTCTAAATCACAAAATAAAAACATATCCATCAGGGTCAAAGGAGAGGAATGATGTCATTATAGAAAAAAGAATTCATAAGAAGAGAGCGAATGCATTTTATCAGCTAATGAGGCAGGATGTAGAAGATTCGATAAGCTACTGTTTTGATTTACAACAAATCCAACCGTTACCAAAAGCACCGGTACAGGAGGCATACTATTTGAGACAAATTAGATTTTACAATTTTTGTACAGTCGATTTAAAAAGACTGAAACCACAGTTTTACTGCTGGTCTGAAGAACAAGCCGGTAAAGGAAGTACAGAAATATCATCTGCTTTGTTACATTTCCTTCTGAATACTGATTTCCAATCACACACCATTTTAAGACTGTTTAGTGATGGATGTATCTCTCAAAATAAAAATAATATTGTAATACGTACTCTTATGTACTATTTGCAAACTACAAGAACATCTCTTACGGAAATTCATATGCATTTTCCAACTCGAGGCCATTCCTTTTTGCCTGCCGATAGAGTTTTTGGCAGGGCTGAAAAACTGTTGCGAAACAAGCCCACTATTATCGCAAAAGAAGATGTCTTTAAAATATATAGAAATTTTTAAAGAACTGGGACAGTTGTATTCATTAGAGCAATACTGTAACCTCTAAGATACCAAGGACTTAAAGAAGTTCTACAAAGATCTAAAAAAACATAAGCAATATGAAAAGGATTTTCTTCAAAGTCAGCGAGGTTAATGGTAAACGGTCAGTCAGAGTTCGAGCGATGGAAAACTTTATTTATGAAGGAAATGAAACATACGAAAATTTAAACAAGAAATCATTCACCATTAACAATGTTAAACAGAATGCAACCAAAAACACTGCCTTTAAGCAGATCTTTATCTAATGAAAAAAAGATGGATGTAGACAAATTACTACAGTCTGTTTTTGGAAACTGGCAAGAGATTGAGGACATCCGTTTCAACTGGTATAAAGAAGTTCTTTTCAATACTCCAACCACTATTCAGGAAACAATTGATGATAATGAAAATGAGTGTGATTGTCTGGATAGTGAGATTTGTATGAGAATTTAAGTATTACTGATTGTATTGGTAAAATAAGTCAATAAAAGTTTTACTAATTAATATTGCTAAAATAAACATGTTTTCTAAAATACTGTTTTTTTTTTTAATCAAAACAGATCCACAACATACACTAATCTAAGACTCAAAAAGATTGTAGTTAGAAATGGACAAAACACGTTTCGACTGCGAGATTGTAACATGTTTTCAAGTCAAAACATGTGTTTTGTCCATTTTTCAAAAATTAAAATAAAGAGATAGAGACTTGACTTATCCATTAAAATATAATAATATTATTCAGTAGTAATAATTTGTTTCTTTGACTTTTATATGAATCTTAAACTTACACTCAATTCGCTAAAATCAAAAATGTTTATTTTTCTTTGTTCCATATCCAAGTGACATATCACATTTTGATTGTTACCTCCTCATATATTCAAGGTTTTGCTGTGGTTGCTCAGCGGTTAAGAGCTCGCTGTAAATTTCGAAGTACGCGAGCAACCCGGGTTCAATCCACACCGGCACTAATGCTGATTTACTACGTGCTCGGCGGTGAAGGAAAACATCGTAAGGAAACCTGCATGTCTGAGAAATATGAAAAAATTCAAAACGCATTGGGGCAGCGCGGCGAACATTATCTCTATATCTAATCTCATCTACTCTAAAACCCTCTCAGAAAGGACAGAAGGCCTGTAGACGTATACAGACTATACCTTTAACTTTATTCATTTCTGTTACGTAACTATTCACTATTTTTTATTTTTATATAAGTTTTCTTTTAAACCATAATATATATATATATATATATATATACATATATATATATAAAATTATTATTCTTATTATTTTTTTATAGAATAGGGTGACAAACGAGCACACAGTCCACGTGATGGTAAGTGGTTGCTGCGGCCCATAGACATCTACATCTATCCTCCATTAAAAATCAAAATGCAGATGCGTTGTCACCCGTGAGGACTGAGATGGAATGCCTCGTTTCCAGTAAAAAGGGTCTCCGGTTCTCTACACTCACCATACGAAATACAGCAGCATTAAGCTACTATTTCACGCTGGTATTCTGTGAGAGCGTGGTCCTTCCCCGGTCGAGCCGACCCATTCGTGCTACAACTATACTACTAATATAACTGCAGCATGGCTCTACCACGTATTCGTTTTAAATTATGTTAAAATAGAATACGTATAATTTTAAATGCAATGTACTTAATATATATGCCGCCTTTATTAATGGGGAAACTATGTAAATGGTAAAGTTTTTCTGAACGTTACCTTCATTCGAAAAAGATCCGAGTTATTTTCAAGTAACGCAGTACAAACACAAATATGAAGTTTGTCTTAAAAAAATTCAACAATACTGTTTCTAAGCATTTATTTTAAGGTAAAAGGTACTTAATTCATGAAAAAATATTACAATGTCACGCCACAAATGCAAAACTACTTAAACTCACCTATCCAATCCCCATTAACCGATTTGTTTTTAATGGGTTTTTGAATTTATTACGCCATCATCTATTGAAGTTATAACATTTTTATTCGCATCCCTATTGATCCCCTGCTTTATTTTTGACTTAAAGAAATTTAGGACACGTCATTTTTGGTAGTCGTACTCCCTAGGCGTACTATCGAAGGCCTCGACTGGCTATCCATTGTGGAAGGAACAATTCTACAAGCAAGTGGATGATAACGACTAAAGACGCCGATATATTCATGGAGGACTTTGAGGAGAAAACCGTTCTTACTGCTCCTGTAAATCCAAGATTCTACAAGCGGTACGTTGACAGACGACACTTTCACAATTTTACCATCTAACAAAGTATTGCATTTCATGCATGCATTTTAGACCACCTTAACTCCATAAACTCTAAAATACAATTCACAATGGAGTTAGAGGCAAATAATTCTTTAGCTTTCCTAGATATTTTAGTCATCTGGAATCCTGATGACATTAATAACAGTATATAGGAAAAAGACCTGTACCAACCGATATTAAATGGTGAATCTTACCATCATCTTTCACAGTTAGCTACCGTGGGTTAATCTTTGTTTCAGAGAGCACAAGGGATCTGTGACAGAAAACATCTGGCCATCGAGCTTCAGCACGTCATGCAACTATTGCAAGGCAACAAGCTTCGGGTCCCGCGCCTATATCACAGTGACCAAGTGAAGCCGGCCACAGTCGAGCGTGTGCTGCTGTAGTACCGTATGTCAGAGGAGTCGCAGACAAGGTTTGCTACATCTAAAATCGAGATTCCACTTAAACATACTACAAACCGCCTAAGAAGATGAGTCTATTTTAACCATATTCCACAAGATGCGGGAGAACATATAGCTGACGTGAAGGACCGACGCTCCAGGAAGTCTGTAGTCTGTGAAGTGTGAAAATGTTCAAGATTGTCCCCACTATTACATCACATTTCATAAACCACAAATCCTCGCAAAAGAATACCGCTTCCTATCAAGGATGATACGCGAGGCTATCGAAATTAAAAACATTCTAATTTCAATAGATAAGATGGCTGGGTGCTGCCATCTGCTTTAGATCCTATAATTAACAAAATGAAGAAGCACGCATATCGCTGCAGGCTTCAGGATACTGTAAGCTCGTTCTGCGTAGATCAGACCAATTTTTTTTTTTCGAAAACTGAAGTTAGCCGGGCTAACTGTGACATTGGGATGTCAAACATCTTAGTCGCTCCCGTGATCATGGATGCTGTAAAGCACTGGAAACGTCGGGAATTAAAAATAAATTACTTAAACGCGATAAAATCCCTATCCTAAGATGTCCCTGAAAACAGTTATGATTGTAATAAGTTTTACTTAATTATTGTTACCAGCAATTAATGAAATATATTATCTATACAAATAAATAAAATTAAAGTGTCTGTTTGTAATGTCCAAACAACAGCTCTTTACTAAATGTATGTACGGTAAAAAAACAGTTTTTAAAATTATTATCTGTCTGTCTGTCTATTTGTTTTGGCTAATTTCAGAAATAGCTGGATCTATTTTGACGATACTTTCACTTGCAGATAGCTGATTAGATGATTTTTATAGGATAGAAGACGAGCACATAGTCCACCACAGTGATGGTAAGTGATTCCAGAGAAGGAGTATTACGAATCAAAATGCAGATGCGTTGTCACCCGTGAGGACTAAGATCGAATGATTCATGTGAATCATTTCCAGTAAAAATGGTCTCCGGTTCTCTACACTGACCATTCGAAACAAAGCATCATTAAGCTACTATTTTACGCTGGTATAAAAAAAAAAAATATATATATATATATATATATATATATATATATATATATATATATATATATATATATATATATATATATATATATATATTATAGCGTGGTCCTTCCCCGGTCAAGCCAACCCATTCGTACTACAACTATACTACTAATATAACTTCAGCATGGCTCTACCACGTATGAACATTAAAATATTTAAGAAAAAATTAAAACACCCAAACCAAAAATACAATCGCAATAAATTCCACGCGGATAAGGTCGCGAGGAACAGCTACTGTACAATAAACTTGTCACAGCCATGCTACCGACCGCGACTTACAACTGAAAACCACATATTTTACCCTTATTTTATAAACGTGATTTAAAATAGAATTAAGTGGTGTCAGTGAGGCGCCATCCTATTGCCATCTCTCGCGCGATCATGCGTGCGTCCGACGAAAATGACGTCGAGGAGCGATAAATCGTGCAATCATGGGATGCAATTAAAGTGTCTAGTTTTCGTCGTGCGATTATCGACGCATCGTATAGATCGGACGATCGTCCGATCAAATATATTAATCAGTATTGAATGACCTAATGGCGCTCGCGCGACCAAGGGGTGGACGCAAAGGAGGGGTACCACAACGTGCGCTCGGCTCGACCGCCTGCCATTATGGATTACTGTATATATATTAAATTACAGATCAAATCAAATGTTTCTGTTGACATTGACAAATATTGAAAAAAAATCCTTCGTTTTGCCGTACATAGAAATACTGATATTGAAATTCATCGCGCTGATTTCTGTTTTTATACAGTAGGTATATTATGAGGTATACGTTTTCCGCTTTAATGTTATTCACTGTTAAATAATTGTTGCTCGACAGATAAAACTATGCATCTCTGTTAAGTGTCATTTTAAGAGTGATCGCATCGCTCCAAAATAGGACACACGATTTCTAATCGCGCGAGCGGATTCAACGATGAAATTGCATCGCATCATCGCGTGAGTGATGGCAATAGCACGGTGCCTGAAACCGAACACATAATTAACTTCTACAACTACAACTAGGTATAGGTCGTGCCACGTAAGATGAAATTAAGGTTGCCCTAGTCGATGGCGCGAACGAAGTGGTGGGCGGGGCAAAAATGCATGCTATCTCAGCCGACATCTCGTGCGAAAGGGATAGACGCTGTGATGAGCAGTAAGAAGCTAGTGCGCACACACATACGCACTCGAGTGACGCAATGCGCGACGGCATCATCGCGTACCTAGGTACCTATGCGATTCATTTTAGAATAATAACATAAACTCAAACGGCAATTGTGAACTTCGTGCCGCAATAGCTTAGCAATGAGTAGCTGCGCTGAGTGCCGCGGGTTCGAATCCCCCCACGGAACAAATATTTTGTATGGACTACAAATAGTTGTTCCGGGTCTGGATGTTTGTTCTTATGCAATTTATATTTGTAAACTGCCTCCACGATACTGGAGAAAATCGGGGATAACGTATTTTAAAAAAGAAGAGAGAGAAAGCAAATTGGTGTTATTGTAAATTAGAATCTGCTGTGTGAAACGTAATTATTATGAACCCAATTTATGTACTTAGTTGTTATGATGAAAGTTCTTATGTGAATTTAAGTAGATGTTGTTATTATATAATAATTCCATTGATTTGTTTTACCTACTTTTTAACCGACTTCGAAAAAAGGAGGTGGTTCTCAATTCGTTGGTTTTTGTTTATGTATGTTCTGTCCCCCG